TTGACACACATCTGAAAGAGTCGTCAGGAAAACAAGCGCAGGATTTTCCTCGGCCTGGAGATACTGGGGAAATGAAAAAGTCTCCATAGGTTGATGGATGCGGAACGAAGGCTGGAACACACACACTACAGCACATGTTTTATCGTGAGCATGTGAAACAGTCGCTTTAGTTAAAGAGGGGAAAAAACATGAAAACCTGATGTGGGATCAAACACGCAAACTTCTAGGTGAGAGAGTTGGACTTCACTAACTGATCACTGCATCATTAGTGTAAATATTATGTTGTCTCATGTTGTCACCCACCATCTAATGGATAAAAAAAATTGCTCCGATGCAAAACTTATTTGCCGACCCCTGGTGTATATTATTACTTCTTATTCTACCATAGTACATAATCGAAGTAGTGATGAGTGTCTACACTGCCAGAATTCTCCAAGAAGAAGTAGAAGAAGAAGAAGAATGTTCTGACACACTCTCTGTAGCGCCTTTTGTTCGTTTGTGGAAACATGGTGACGACCATGTAAGAGGACCCGCGGTTATATAGATATAAATGGCTCATTCTAAGGTGATAAAAACATAACAGTTCATTGTGTAAGGTCTTTATACACCACTGAAAACATGGTTATGGATCTTATATTGAATTTCTGCATGAAAGCTGTGAAACCCGGGAGTCTGAAACAACACTCACCATCTGCTCCCTTCACAGACTCTGACTCTTGCCAGAGACTACGCAGCCGCGGTGAAGAAGCCTTTCCCAGAGATAGATGCCAGAATCCTGGAGGAGAAAGACTGGCCAAAGGACTTCTACGTGTTCGAGGGAAAAGGGAAGGAGCCCTCGATCGTTTACATGCCGCTGTTCAACAGAAAAAACTGCAAAGGTCTGTTACACAAACACACACACACACGTGCAGATTAATTATGGAGTCTTCTGATAATGACAACACTAATTTAAGCTCTTCACTCTTCACTTTTAGCAAGGTGTCAAGCAAAGAAGGGTAACAGGTGACTAGAGCATTAACAGCCCTTCATGGTTTTCTATAGATGCAGAGGAGTTCAAAGCAAAAATGAAGGAGTTCTCCACCTTCCAGCGTCCCTTCAGCCAGGAGAAGACTGAGTCCCTGTTGGAGATAGCGAAAGCCAACATAAAGAACAACAAGGAAACTCTGCTGAGGGAGATTAACAAGGCTGTCCTCCACCGACGCAGAAAAGAGGTAGGGGTGGGTTTGAGTGAGAGGGGGTGTAAAGTGAGACACAGGGAGACATAAAAGAATCAGAGAGGATCTGAAAGCACTGACAGTGTAGGTCAAATCTGAATTTCACATCTCTTTACAGCATGTAATGTGAGCTCACTGCGTGTCTGAGGAAACAATCTGTGTGAAAGGAGATGAAAAGGGATTCAGCAAGAGGACTTTATGTAATATCTGTGTGCCTGTCTGAGATACACAGAGAGAGATGTGGATGGTTGACAGAGAAATAACTGAGTTATCAGGAATCTGTCACATCTCTTTCCTTCTCCCTTCCAGGAATGCTTTGAGGCTGGAGTAAACTAGAATCTGTGGTTTCTTCATGTTCATCAGTCACACAGAGCCCCGCCACAGGAGGGAGAGTATAACCCAACTACCACACGATCATGCAATGTGACTGCATGTCATCATATCTGCTGAAATAATTGTGGTGTTGTATTTTTGGACTGTCACTATATATAAACATCAGTTAAATCTCTGACAGTACATGTCTTCTTTTACTTTTATTGTTGTTAGGGATTTGGTTTTGAGTTCATGTTTTTTTGTTCTGTCATCGTTTGGGGTTTTCTGTTTCTTCTTTGTAGCCTTGTTTATTCTTTTGTTCATGTTTAGTTCTCTTAGTACCTGTCTTGTATCTTAGTTTTAGTCCTTTATTTTGGTTTTGTTTGTTAATGTCTTTGTATTCACTCCTGCTTCTGTGTTTGTATTATTGTGGTCTTGTCTGCTTTGTGTTCTCTTTTTATCCTAGTCTTAGTCTGTTCCTTGTTAGGTTAGGTTTTTTGTATTATTTAGTTTTCTGTCTGCTAAGTGTTGGTTTGTGTTCTCTGTTTGGTGATAGTTTATTTGATAGTGTTTAGTCTTGAGTGCTTGTTTCCTGTTTGTCTTTTGATGTTCAGTTTGTGTTTCTGTATTTTGGTCTAGACCTGTCTGTTCCCCTCGATTGGTTTGGATTGGATTATCTTTTGTTTGGATTTACCTTTGTGCTCTTTGGAAGCCGGTTTTGGTTAAGTTTATTGTTTTAATAAATATTTTGGACTGCACTCCTCGCCTATGTCTGGGTCCACACCTCAGTGTCCTGCCGCTGCACTCACCCACCCACGACAATTGTACTGTGTGTACGCTATACGGCCATAACTGTGTGGACTCCCCTTTTTAATGTTTTGGGTTGGACCTCTTAATACAATTAAGGGAAATGTTGTTATAGCAGTGGTATTCACTATAATAATGAGCTTCAAACTGTCTCAACAAAGCGATGCCCCCGTGGACAAAACCTGGGGTCTCATTTAAAAAACTGTTCGTAGAAACCTCACTAAAAGTGTACGTACGCCCAAAAGCCAAAAATGGCGTATGGCAAAAAATATTCAGACTTATAAAACCATGCGTATGTACATCTGTAAGCAAGTTCCCTTTATTAATCACAATCAACTTGAAATGTGGCACATGTGAGGGAGCTCCATGTCTGACCGTTCAAACGCCCATAGTTACCTATAAACAGTCAGTGAAACACCCCTCACTAAAATATTAATACGTCCTGACTGCAGGAAGAAAAGGAGGCAAATTCTGACAGAGAAGTTGCAAAATGAAATTTAACTTGGTGTGACACTGACATTCCTTATGATGAAGCTGATGCTGTTTTGTGGGTTAAAAACACACTTTCATTTAATACATGTGCACTGCAGGAAAGGGGGCACCGGAGCTCCACGCCTTCATAACGGATCTGCAGGAAGGGGGCCTCCCTCCTCAGTAGTGATGTCGCTGGCTGGAGGGGGACACACAGACGGGATGACCCAGGTAGTAAGTTGGATTCCCCCATTTGAAAAGAGATTAAACCAAATGCATTCCGCTTGTGTTTAAACATTTATTTAGGCTACACAAACAGTCCACTCACTAAACAAGGCCGCTGATGAGTTAAAATAAATATAACTTGTTGTAAATGACATAAGCTGAAAGATTTACTCAATAAATTACTTTTTAAATTATTTTTTAATTATATTTTCCATAACTTGTTTTTACAACCAGCGCATCACATCCACACGCTGACGCACAGCATTTGGCTTGATAAGGCAACGAACACCTGATAACAATTCATGAAACTATGCACTAGTATTTGCACGACTGACGCATTGAAAACATCAATTTAAATATAATTTGTCCTCCTGTTCACCTTATTTATGAGAATAAATTGCACTGCATGCAAGTATTAATATGATTCCTGATTAAACTGTACAACATATTATATATCTCTGTGTTTGTTATCCTAAATCTGGATCTTTTTGTGTGTGCTGCAAATGATCTTAAATTGTGTGTTGTTTTTTTGCACACTTCAGGAAAAGTAAATCAAACGGGTATTTGTTTATTCAGAAAGGCTTTAAGCCTGTAATACTCAGAGGTAAAATTTTGATTTATTTTACACAGTAGTAGGCCTATTCATTTTAAACCATTTCATCCTTCTGCCATGTGAGTCACCATTTCTCTTTTCTCCTCTTTATGTGCGTACGCATGGTTCAGAGTTTACTTGCAGGATGCACATTTTCCCGTCAAGTTCGTTTTTATAGATCACAACCTTTGCTTTGGAAGTGGCGTACGCACCTTTTCTAGCACTGTTCTGTACATAAAGCATAAAGAATGGTTTTCCAACTTTGTAGTGGAGGAACTCCGCTTCATTCAAAACCTTTGGAATAAATTTGAACGGCAACTGTGAGCCAGGCCATAAAGCCAAACATGAGTACCTCACAAACATTTCAATCAATTCTAGGGTGAATTACTGTTTTAACAGTGATATAATCAGTCATCTGCTGAAAGGGGAACGTTTCTCTGTGCTTACCGTAAATCTCAGTTTACCACATGGATTTACAAGCAGGATTTATGACATCACAGCTACTTTGGGAGCCAATCATGGCCCAATATTCAACTTAAACAAGTATGATGTGGAAACTTCAAACCTACATACACTGAGAATGGACTTTACCATGAAGTAGGATACATCTAGTGTCCAGAAATTACAATATGCCAACACAACAAACTAAACTTTAACTAACATACCCCTCAAAACTTTGTTTCTATTCTCACTATATTAAGTACCAGATTACACAGGCCTTTCCTTATTCAGGATGTGATGGACCTGTTAAGGAAGTGTTTTATTTCACAATGTAAAAGTTTAAAATGCTGCTTCAAAGCCAGCGCCAGAAAATACATTTTGGGTCTATTGACATGAACCTAAAAAACAGTGTAATCTTTGTTGAATGTTGACTCCCCCTGGCTGATAAAACCCCCAATGTCCCAGAAATACTACAGGAGACATGACCTCATGTCATCAGCTTCTGGTGTGAGCCCAAGACTAACTGAATGCAAACATGTTCAGTACACCCATACACTGCGCGCACATATATGCTTATACCACATTCTCTAAATGTTAGTATGTCTTAAAATTTTATCTTTCACACTATCATGCTCAGTCTGCCTGCCTGTTATGAATGAGGTAACCCAAAGCTAACGCTAGAGGTCGCACAACATCCACAGCAGGGAATTGAGGTATCTTAAAGTAGGTCACTACAACCGAGCATTCACCAAGGCCATCTGCATACACCACACTCACACTGCATCCACAGTTGGTTCCTTTGAGACTGTGTCATCGTCATTTTGGAAATAAAATCAGTCTCTGCACTGCGTGGTGTCTTTAATATATCAAGCTCAGACAGTACGATCATCACTGATGACTTTCTACTTTATTTTGAAATTTGAATAAAATGATTAAATCTAACAGGGTTTGTTTGAGTTGTTGCAAAAACACTTTCCTCCATCCAAAAGTACGACTTAGTCAGTCTTTGTGGCATTTCACGCGCTTTGCATGGTTTCCCCATCATTCTGAACTTTTTGTTTTTTCCTTGCTAATATTTTGTAGCCCATATCTTCATCTGAAAGACACGGATCCAGTTTTTCCTTTCCTGCTTTACATAGATTCTGTCATGAAACAATATCATGAATATGTTGTCGCTCTCTGTCAGTCTGTGCGCACTCGGTGCGCTTTGCGTCGTCAGTGAAGTTGCCTGATCCGCTGCAGACGAGCGGTGCGCCACAAACATCCACCCTCTCCAAAGGAAATAAGAGGGGAAGAATATGCTTCATGAACGGATTTCACAGCTTAAATGTCTTCAGGGTGGATAGATACAGAGAGAAATATATGACAGACGCCGGTAGAAACACCGAAATGTTGCCTGAACACCAAACGTGGAAGCGAAGGAGGACGATGCTGTGAGGACGGATCTCAGGCTTCAAACCGTCTCGGCGCTCCATGGGAGAGAGACGGGGATAAGAAGAACGGAAGAGGGAAAAAAATGTTCAAAGTTAGGCCGTGTCGTCTACACGTGCGACCCCGTAAAGCGCCGTCCCGCAACAGCTGCAGAAAATGAGCATGAAATGAACGAAGAATGCATGTCATTTGGGATATATCTGTGATTTTGCAAACATATATCATCTGCACGTCATCAGGTAAGGTGCTAAGACGGAATTAAGAAGGAACTATTTGAACAATATAGAAATATAGGAGACTGTCAGAATATTCAGCTCGGATATGAAACAAGATGAATGAAAATGTTGAAGTGAAGCCATCACTACAAGAAGTCACCATTAGATACAAGCTACCGAAATATAATATAATTGTTATAATGATATTTCGATTCCTCATTTCCTGTCAAACTCACCATAATTACAGAAACCTCACCTGCCAAGGTAAACCATTCCTACTCATTTTACTTTTTAAATCAAGTGAAGTGTCAACAGGCTCTTTGCACAGAGACATATACTGACATCAGTCACTGCACGCTGCTGAGGTTCAAAACCATTGAGATGATTGAATTCATGCATCAAAACTCACATATTATAACCCCAGCACTTTGATCAGTAACCCCTCATGCACACAGATGCTCACACACACGTACACGCAGATCATAATAGTAGTACAGTATATGGAACACCACACATACACAGCCTGACTAAAACGGAGTCACACTGGGAATATAAATAGTTAATCAAGAATTTCACTCTCAATATGTCAAAGAGCTCATACAGTACGGCCATATCAGTGAGGCAACCATCCATTTTCTCAGATACTCACAGTGATTCCCATAATGGGATGAGTCAAGACCTCCTACTCATCACCGCAGAAGCTGCCAGCCTCACTTTCTTAACAAGACATGCCTCCTTATAGAGATAATTTCAAACTGGTATGCAGATATCAAGAGACGACTCTTGATAACTGACCCGCCACACTTCAACAGTAGGCTATAGGAAAAAGACTCAATGGTAGCCCGTACTTTAAGAACTTTGTAATTAAACACTAAATGTGTTCTTTAAAAAGTCAGGAGAAAATGATGTAACTTTTTTTTCCAGTAGCTGTTTTCAGATTTATTACAGAGTGACAACTACAGTCAATGGGCAGGATTGAGCAGGGGATGCTGCAGTTCTCTGGTATGCTTCTAAATCACTATAGTACAAAATAACCACTAGGCACCCAAATATCAAATATTTAAAAAGATATGTTGCTGTCCATTTTGTAGACGTGGTCTCAATGTTAAAGGTGCACTCAAGCCATTTAGTATGGCACCTCCATACAGTTCACTGGTTCCTACAATTCCCATAATGCAACTAGTTGTCAGTAGACCCTCTGCCTTATAGATGCTTACATCTTTTAATCTCTAAATACTTTTTTTTTTAACTCAGCCTAAATGCCCAGTGATCAGCCCAGCCTCAGTGATAATCTAATGATATAATAATATAGCAGTCAGTGGTCATTTTTCTGCATGGAGTACTTTTACTTTTAAAAACTTAAATACCTGATAATGCTGACATACTTTACTTAAGTTACATATTCAAATATCACAGTATTTTAATATTAGTAAATTTACTTAATTAAAGGTTGTGAATACTTCCTTCACAACTGGCCTACCCCTCAACTCATTTGTCAACTGCAGTCTTGTCCCTGTTCGGTTCGCGTGACCCGGTTCTGCATTGGTGCAACACAAACTCTACCATTCAGAGCTATCTGTCAGATCCCGGCAGCGCTGTGTTAATCGTGCTGCTGCTGCCAGGCTGGCTGGTTGCAACCTGCAGGGTTGGATGGCAACGGAGCTACAGCACAGTGAGTGGCAGTCTGGGGCCAGAAACACTCAGGACACAATGTGTGAAGTTATGTGTACCACAGGCGGTTGTGGGCACCGGTGCAGGCCCACCACAGGGACTCACTCCATGCATCCCACATAAACAAATCTCCATTTTGACCTACTTTGAAAGCTTCATTACAAATCAACAGACCTTTTTTTTTTTGTGATGATTAAATTAGCAGTTTAACTTACAGTATAAATTATATTGACATCAGTACAAATTTATTTCAAGTAAAGGAAGGAATCCTTTTTTTCTGCTTATTTAGATTTATGTAATACCCTTTTGACGTGTTATAAAACATAATGCCTTTTTAAAATGTGCACATGCTAAATATAAGTGAGAAAGAGAAATGTATTACATTGCTATGTCTGTGCTAGCTTTTACAGAGCTAAAATGGGGATTTCATTGTTTCAACTTGACCCTTCCCAACCACGCAAATTATCCGACAAGAACAACATTTCAGTGTTTCCGTGGTATATTTGCATAGATATAAATGTTTGTTTCTTAATGTTAGCATTCATGGTTACAAGTCAGTTTTGGGTTGAAGGTGGACTTTCCCTCTGGGCCTCTTGCATCTGCTGGAGGCGACACTACATAAAGAAGAAGAAGATATACTTTATTAATCCCGCAAGGGGAAATTCAGTGTTTTCACTCTTTCACTTAGTATTTACACACAGGTCCGAAAGACACACACATGCACAACACACGGAGAGATGTCAGAGTGAGGGGGCTGCCACTCAGTGTGGCTCCCAGAGCAGTTAGGGGTACAGGGGCTTGCTCATGGCCTCCTTCGGCAGTGCCCAGGAGGTGAATTGGCACCTCTCCAGCCACCAGTCCACACTCCGCGACCCTCCGGTTCCCAGCCTAATCCTTACGGACTGAGCCCCAATAAAAATGAGATGGGTAGAAATCAGATGTATGGAGCTAAAATCTTTATATTTTTTCCTCAAGAATTTTAAAAAGATATAAATGCCTCCATTAATTTTTTGGCAAACTGGTCCCTTTCTGTAAGTGGATGACACTCTGACACCTGCCCTGTCTCGCCTCTGTTCTCTGTTTAGTTTCAAAACCTCTCTGTTCCCCTGCCCCTGCATTTTCTTGGAACTTGTCAGACCTTGTCATTCCCTACCTGTTCAACAGATGAGTTTCCTGCCTTTTCCCAGTCAGTCGCCCCTACCCATTTTTACCTCATTTCAGTACCAGCCATTTTCTCCCTGGCTCACCCTCTCAGTGTTGCTGTGCTGCCATTGTGGTCCAGCCATTCCTACCTGCTCGCTGTTCTCTAAACTTGCCTGCTGCCAGTCTGTGACTGCTTCCTTAGCTCGATCAGATTTGTTTGCCTCTTTGGACTTCCTTCATATTACCTAAATGTAAGCCTGCATTGACCCTAGTTTCAAGTAAAGTGCAGTTAGCAGACAGGTTTGGGATGTGTTAGCTTTGTGCAAGGGCTGGAGAAGATTAGCCTCAATCAAAAGAGGAGGAATACGTCTCACAGTAAATCTAAAGTTGTCTTAATTATGTATTGTGTTCTTCTGCTGACTTTCTAATTAGGGATGGGCGACACGGCCAAAAATTAAAATCACAATCCTTTTAATCGCAATCACAATATTTCACACTAAGTTGCAATCTTTTTTTCAAAATTTGGAAATTCCCAGTAGACATGAAATAGCCTATGAAATTTTCACCATTAAAACACAAAATTGCATTAAAGTTACTTGACAGGTTTCAAAATGGTGATTTAAACCTAAGTTTCATTTGAAGCTGTAAACAGAAGCCAAAACGTCATCATAAAATAACACTTTTCAAGTACTCACAACTCAATGGCATTGTTTATTATGCCACACAAGGAAGAGCAATGTGTAATAATTCTTCCAGTGATCATGGCCATCTACTCGGTTGCATCACTAGTGCTTTGTTCACATAGCACAGATCCACTAGTCAGTGAGGTTATGTGAAGTTTGGAAACAGAAGTAAGACGACATTTCATACATCTCTACAATTCACCTGAAAAGTAGATTGTGAACACCTGAGATCACAATATCGATCTAATCTTCACATTGCCTACCCCTATTTCAAACATTAGCCTCTGGCAAGCTAGTCTCATTTGGAGTTGGAGGCTGTGTGAACCCTTCGCTGTGAGGGCAGGACTCCTGCAGTGCTGTGTTTTACTAAAGAACAGTTTCCTCTTTCCCTCTTTCCTTCTCCCTGCAGCTCAGCCGATTACATCCAAGCTTGATGACAGTTGGTGGGCGTATAAGGACGTTGTCCAGGGAAGCTTTGTTCCAGGTAATAGACCACCACCCACCTCATACACAAAGAGGTATCATGACCAACACATGGTGAAATATTTGAAAATGTTATGGAAGGTATTCGGGAGGGGAGTTGTTTTCCCAATTTAAGAAGGTTCATCAAAACTTTTTTGGACCTTAGAATAAATCTATTATGCCTGTGAATCCTATCAATCCTCAAAATCTGGGTCTTGGAGACAGGTTATTTGAAGCAAAATCTGTCTGGAATTAGTGCTAATAAAAAGACTTTAGAATAGATTGTTAAATGACTTATGTATTACTGAAAAGAAATATGTTAAATGGTAATAGGTAAAACAGTGAGGCTCAATATAATGGAAATCCTATTCATTATAATTGCAGTAATGAAGGCGCTATTGTGCATTACTGTTTCATGCAGCTCAGTATGCCTAAAAATGTCATTCATATGGGATGCGTGTGCCACCACAGTGTGCTAATGCAGGAAGTGGTGTAAAGAAGAAAGTAAGGGTGTGGAGGTCAGGGGTGCTCATGCAGCAGACTACAGTTTATGTCCCATCACAATCCGGTTAACGATAGCTTTTTTAAAACCATAACCACAACCTCTCCCTTACCTTAGCATACTGTATATACCATGCACAGGTCTTGTAGAAAGAATGTATTTTAAAATGTTGTCACCGAATCTGATCCAGGGTTTTGCCAAATGGTCCAGAACAAACAGTGTTTCTAGCGACAGGGCCAGTGATCTGACTGTTTTTTAGTACATTAATCTGGGGATGATGTAGATGGGGCACATTTTCATAAACCCCCTCACTTCTATGGTCACACGCAACTAATTAGCTTCAGCCAAGGATAAGGATGTTGCTGAGACGCTGCGACTGATCTGCATAAATAGAAATGGACCAAGATCATTTGTTTATAATTACTTTGAAATCAGCTAATTTGGAGTTATACTTTCCTTAAAATGGCACATTTCCAGTTTTAGAATGAGACTGAAATATTGCTAGATGAAGAAGTGTGTGACAGGCCCTCTGGGAAAGTTGAGACTGACAGTAGTAAGCTCATCACATCAGTGAGCGTAGCCTGACTTTGACTGCAGCTTTTTCACCCTCAGTCTACTCTTGCACTACATCTTTCTCCTCGCTTTGTGTTAGTGCTGTGCCAGCACAGGAGAAATGTCGACTTCAAGCTGTTTTTTCTGGAAATTAAGTGGGAATACAGTCAGCAAAAAAAGAAAAACTAGGGTGTTATTCAATACTTGGGCCACTGATGGGTGTCATATTGTGCTTATAGATATTCTTTGATCACCTTTGCAGCCACATGAGGCACACGGGTGATTGGCTGAGATAAGAAGGACAAAGCTGTGGGTCTTCTCAAAAGGAAAACAGTGAGAGATGGGCGTCTGCCAGCCTCAGAGCAGAAACAGAAATCACTATTCGCTCCTGAGCGAGAGTATTGGGAGATGACCCAACAGAGTTTGCGGGGAATGAGACTGAGCACAAATGATGCAACTTCAATGCTACCTTGCTGTAAACACGGAGGTGCTCAGAAAGATAGATAAAAGGAGGCAGAGAGGAAGGAGTCTGGCAATTCTGCTGTGGTTCGCCTCTGAGCTATTACCTTGGCACTGTAAAATATAAAACTAAATATAACACAAGATACAGTATGCACCACAGATGCCGTAGAACAATGGAGAGTCTTTGGCAGGCATAGACAAAACATGTATTTCTGGTCCTGTACTTCAAAAGCACCTACAGAGACAGGAACACCTTTAGGATTAGTGGGTTCAGGTTCGCCTGGTTGCTCATGTAATCCCCCCTCAACCTCTCTTCCAACCTGTAATCTCGCCTGACATCATTGGACAAAAAAATTTATCAGCAGCGAATTTGGTACTTAATCGTTTAAAGTGGGCGATATGTTTCCCTCTCTCGGGACTGTCTCAAACTGTGTGGGAGACATAGTCTCAGAAGGGCCAAAAGAGAAGTTCTGGGATGCAGCTGTGCAATGCTCTTTAAATGAGGTGGGGAAGATAACTAGACACATATTTAGTCTTTTCTCTTGCAGAACCTAAAAATGTGCATTAGAAAAACATACATACAGATAACGCATAAATCTTGTGTTAGTGTCGCTTGTCCAAGTAAGTTTTTGCCTTCCCCTCCTTACGTTGCGCTAATCTGTAATGGGCTCATTACTGGCCCCCTGAGGCTGAAGGGTGGAAAATATCCACTGATACTTGATGGTTCGTTAGAACCGCACAAACAGACAGGCCACAAGGGGCCACAATGAGCCGCTACCAAACTCGAAAACAACTGCTTCAGCTGAGTTTTAGCACAGAATTCCCTGTGTTGTGTTGTGTTTCCCTGGCGAATGCACTGGGGGGACTAAATGCTACATGTGCGTTAGATAATCTTTGGAATGCATTATTTCACAGAACTTCTGATTGAAATCTAATCGCTCTGTACAGCTCCAACAACCGAACAGCACATCCTCCTCTCGTTTGGGAGGGTCCTATAACTGTAGACATTCTGAGCAAGCTTTCCACCATGATGTGTTTCCTCCATGGATTATACACCCTTATTTACCTCTCTCCTCAGTAGTGCGCCGCTGTAACAGCTCAGCCGGAAATGAAAGTGAAACTCAAGTACTTCCTTGCATTGTTAGCTTGCGCTACCTTTCTTCATAATGTGTACTCCTTTCCGTTATTTTAGTAGTTTATATTGAGTTTAATTTGTGTGAGTTCAAATTCACAAACGCATTTGTTCAGTTGACCTTTCCCCAAAAACATGAGCCCGTTCAATGAACCGCACTATATATATAAAACCAAAGCTATTTAACACTGCCAGGGCGTTACCTTTTATCTGGCTTGTTAAAACAAGTTACCATCAGAGTCCAGAGCCACGATCATAACATCATAACAGGCTTCTTCTGGTTAACATATATAAATCTGGTTTTTGTTTTCTTTCTGAACAGGTATCAGCAGAAATTTTTTTTTTTTTATCAGGGAGCAGCAGAAACAGTTTATGTTCAGTAGCAAAGTGTTCCTGTTAGAGTGAGGTGAAGTGGTCGTTGAGCGTAGGGCGTAGCAACTGTCGTGGTTGTGCTCGCCTCACACACGCCCGCTGCCGAAGTTGAATTGTCTTGAACTTTTTCTACGCGACGCGCTGAACAAATCATTGGAAGAGAGACTGATCCCCGCTGTTTGTGAGTTGTACTAATGAGCATGCAGTGTGCCGCTCTTCACTTCACTATGGCGTTTGATCGCTTGTCTTGCTTTTGTTTATCTACATCTCCCACACGCTGCATCCAGCGTAGTCTGCCGAAGCCTCCACTGCTTGTTTGGGTGGCTGATTTGCAGGCTGATCAACATCCCACCCCTCCTGTGACGCATGGTTTGACTGATTCAGAGCCAGTGAGAAACGGAATTTCAAAATAATAATAATAATAATATAAACTGCGGTAACATGAGATAAAATAATTGTAGGCAATAATTCATTAATGCATTAACGCGCTAATAACGTGTTTCCTCCTGTCTTTGCACCAGGCTGTAAGGGGCATCAGGTTCATTCTGTTGTTGTACAATTCTTATGTATATTTGATCATGTGTGTCTGGGAGTCTCCCTTTCTCTTTTATCTTCTCTCTCCCCTTGCCTTTATTCTCTCTCATCTCTTCTGCCCTTTCAGCTTCTCCTCCTCCTCCTTTCCTTCTTTTCCCCTACTGTTCATGGCTGGTCCAATTTTCCTTTGTCTCTTCTCTCTTTTCCTCCAGCATCTCCTCCTCATCTCGTCCCCAGTCACCCATCCTTCTCTTTCTTTGTTATCCCTCTCATTTCTCTTCTCTGGCTCTGTTTCCCCCCAGCTCACTCTTCCTTCCAGCCTGAATGGCCTGCAGATCTTGCTATCATTCATTTGAATTTGCTCACGACTTGAGGCCCATTCAGAACCTCAGAGGAAATCTGTGCACCGTGTTCCGAGCTGGCTCTGATGAGGGCGCTTCCTCTGTGAGCATTTAGCTGGATATGTGAAAAGATGACGGTTGGATTTTGTTGATCACACTAACCTAAGATGTCGCAGAAACTGAAAATCTCATGTCCTTGCTTTGAGCTTACCATGAGCAAATTTCAAAGGGGGGGCGACACAAAGACTAACAAGCAAACAGAACACATTCAGTAGACAGCAGCTTGGTGCTTGACTAAGTGAAAACTGGATTTTATGAGGACATTTTAACAAGACACACTTAATTTAATATTAAAAATGTATACATACTCATCCAACAAACATTAGCGTTCATTTGGAGTTTGGTTTTTGTGCCCACCTGATGAACGCAAGTCCAGTATTCACTGTCATTTTAACTCCACCAACTTCTGTGGGAAGTAGTCTCACTATTTAGCTGCTAAATGCTTCACTCTTTTTGCTAGTTGCTAACTTTGTCTGTCTGCTGTTTGCGGCTGGGTTGGAAGCGTACAGTGGGTTTATCCGAGGATCAAAGTTAGGTGATAATTCTCTGTGGGTTTGTCGCTTCACATTACACAGTCATATGAGTCACTGATATATTGATTAGTGCAGCTTCCATGATAGTGTGGCCAATAAAATAATGGGCTGTGTCCAAAAGAACCATACTTACTTCTATGCATTTTACTTAAGTGTTGTTCACTACATAGTGCCTTCAGAAATCCAAACAATGAACGGTTTCTTTTAAATCTGCATATTATATACCATTATTTAAATGTAAATGCTCCATATTTGTATAGCGCATTTCTAGTCTTTGCAACAACTCAAAGCACCGTTACACTACATCACATTCACCATTCACACACATTCACACACTGAGCCAACAGGCAACCCGCTCTAACTCCTGAGCCCCTTTTTATTACTGTAATGCAACTCTGAAACAATTAGGAATCATGTGGTAACTGACAAAATTTACTTCTCAGGACACAGTACCCTATATATCCTGTACGCAGGATAAGCGGTTGGGATGGGGGGACACTTTAGTCTTAAAGTATATGTTTTTTATGTTCAGAT